TCCTGCTGACTTCAGTATAACCTTTCTCCATACTGCTGGTGATCAACAGCGTGACTCTTATGCACTTCCAAGTACTGAGTTCTAACTGTCCTGTGGTTTAAATGTTATTGCTACTTCATGGAAACGTTGAACTCAGATTATTCACTCGGTTTGTTGTACTCACTAATAGTAGCTACCACGTTTTGCTTCTTCTACGTATATGCAGTACTATAACTGACACAATAGAGTAATAATTGGTGAAGAGGAATTTATGGTAGCTTCATCTAGTGCTCTGTTGTATAAATCGACTATTTTAGCACAGTTTTTAAAGAGCAGATTCCTTTTGACAAGTTTACAGTGAACATAAAGACAGTTCTTTTCCATTTCAGGTCAACTGCACTTTTTAAAATTAAAAAGAAATTATTCAAATCCAATGCATCGTAGTGCATGTACTGGGTTAAAATGTCTGGGTGCCTCGGTACGTATCCTGGATCACTCTTCATTTATGGGACTCGTGGATCCTTCTCTGTTGTACAGGAAAACATGAAGCAAGCGTGTTCTCATAGCGTGGCTGTCCCAGGCTTTCTCTGTAGCTCAGCTCAGGAGGTTCGTGTGCGCGTCACGTGGCTCAGCATGCAAAAAGGAGGTTTAATTTTCTTTTCTAGAGAGTTCAAACGGTCGACACTGAGAACAGTCTGAGAATACAGAGGATGGAGCTGAGTAAAAGAGCCGATCGAATGCCAGGCTTATATTAATTCTCCTTGAGACGTCAGTCATGCCATGTGGAATCTCATGCTAAAAGTGAAGATATAATCTCTTAACTCTTAAGACAACTTGAAGCATGTGAAGTTGGCCTTTTCCTGGTGATCGCAATGTTTCGTGAGAGACAGGTCAGGGCTGAATTTCAGCTTTTTTTTCCTGATTCAGTGAACACCTTAGAGAACATTTTATGCCCAGCTGTGGCGGTACAACTCTCATGGTCCCCAAAGATGATGGGAATTGCACCTCCGGGAGCGCGAGCGGAGGTTGCACCAGCAGACAGCGTTCACGCTCACCGATAACCACAGAGGTCTCAACCTGCTTCCTGGTAGAAAAGTACAAATCGGCAAAAATCGGCGAATTATTTGGAAAGGATTTGTTTATCCTGAACGCCCTCAGAATATAATTGGATGAATTTGCTTCTGGAAGCGGGAGTGGTGTGACTGCACAGCGTGTGCTTTCCCAGCGGCGTGAACTCTGTCTGATCGGCTGGTGCAGCGTCAAGGAAAAAACACCTTTTGGAAAATACCCTCTGTGAATCAGGTGATACCTTTTAATGACGTTTCCCCCGATGATTTTTCAAATTATTGCATAAAGAGCACCGACTTCTGTCATTCTTACTGGTAAGGGGCGTTCAGCATCTGAGCATCCTCTCTGAGGAGCAGCGGTGGCGCTCCCCGAGGTGTGGAGCAGCAGCTCTCTCACCTTGCTGGCGTTGGCTGCGCCTGCGTGGTGTTCGGTTTCTCCTGCAATACCGCGTGGTGCTCTTCTTTTGCTTCTTGGTTTGGAGAAAACCCTCAGATCGCGATAAAAACCTTTCCTTCTCGTGTAACCCGTTCGTAGTTCCTTACCTCGTTGCCAGTTCCAATCTTCTATTTCCCACGGTCACTTTTCGGGTTAAATCCTTGTTGGCAGTTTTGCAGCGTGCTGTAGGTTCCGGGTGCTGGGTTCCGGGAAGAGGAGGAGACAGCTCTGGAATTGGGACATTGTGCCTCAAAACCATAGGTATTTTTATTTTTTTGTTGTTCTGGAGCGAAGGCTGTGCACTGACGTAGGGAAATATGTGTCTTTTGAAGTGGGATGACCCTGGAACAGGCTTGGTAGTGCCAGGGTACGGAGCAGCTGAGCTGTGCTGTTGGCTGATGAAAAGATCCTGGTTTTCTTTTAGTTGACTGATTTATGAGCAATTTAGAAAAGCTTAACGTTTGTGACTCCTGTGCTGTTAGGAGAGAAGGAGAGATTGCTACGGCAAAAAAAACCAACCCTCTCGTAGCACGGGGGAAGTTGGGATCCCAGTAACGAGTGGGTTCAGCGTGGAAGGGACTGGATCTGCTGGTGTGGAGGGGGAGCTGGAATTCCACCCTCCGCAGGGAGGTATTAGATCCTGCTCCAGCTGTCACCTCCCTGGGGCAGGGACCGGCTTCTCTGAAGTTTTTTCCTGGGCAGAGGTTCCTGATGGTGTTATTTTACACAAGGGTCTTCAGCTGGACGTGTAGAAACATCTTGTTGAGTGCCGAGAACGTGAGGCACAGCGTTGTCTTTTACATGTTTTACACATTTTGACCACATTCGTGTGACTTTTTTGTTTTGTGTTGTTTTAATGTTCAGGGAAGGAAAGATAAAATAAATCGGAGCTTTGGGCGTCGGCAGTGCTGAGTGATAAACACAAATTTTTACACAAATTAGCCTAAACTCCTCTAAACCAAACCCAGCCGTTCGGGAAAATGTAAGCACGTACAGGAGTTGTTTGTTGTATTTCAAAATAGAGAATTACAAGCCAGATAGAGCCGCATTAACCACTCCCCTGACGCATCCAGACGCCGTCAGTGCTGCGGGGATTATTTTCTAATTATTCTTTGTCTCTGACGTACAAGCTGACAGATGCAGTAAGCCTGGATCCTGGAAAGCAGGTGCCAGGCTGGTGGGGAGCTGGGCAATTTCTGCAGGAGCTGGGCTCGGGAGCGTCACGGTGACTTTTTTCCTGGGCTTTCGCTCCACTCTGAGGTGGGGCAGCATTTCTGAGTTATAAGCACAGGAGAAGGAAAGCGGCTGGTTCCTCTGCTGCAACCGAGGAGCCCTCTGGAGCTGGGCCGGTGCCCTGCCAGCCGAGGTGTGCCATCACTGCAGGCACAGGTTAGGCAATCCTTAGGATTCAGATTTCTTTGGGAATTATTTTTTAAATTCACGAAACTCTTACAAGAAACGTGGTGTTTTTGTTTGTCTGTTGTTTTTCTGTAAATTCTTCATCGCCGTGTTAGTCTACCCAGTTCTCCAGGTATAAAAGCTTCTCCGTACTAGTTGTGCTCGAGCTTTTATGTCGTGTCGCTGCTGCACGGCCGCAGCCCCGTGCGTGCCCAGCAGCT